GCTCCCTGCGACCGGCGATTCAATGCTGGGTGCCTTTAGGTGGCATCCAATAAGTGTCATCCCGGGTTGTCCCGGGACCCCCGGGCAGCAGTGCCGGGGCTGAGCCAGCGGCACTCACTCGGGCGCTTTGTTGCTTTGTTCCTCAACGCTGCAGCTGGGTCTGGCAACTGCTTTCTGTTTTCTCCTCTGTCACCGGGGTCCTTGGCCATGCCGGCGGCGTGGCGGTCGCCAGCAAGCGGCACTGTTACCCTGCTGCCCGCCCGGGCACCCGCCGGGCATCCCCGGCTGAGCTCACAAGTTTTGCCTTTTATCTGACCACAGTACTTGGAAAAAGCGGGCGACCTTCTGGGAAGGCAGCCCTTTCCTCAGACCTGCCCAAACACGGGTATTAATAGCTGCTGTTCTTTTTTCTTTTCCCCATTAAATGCTGTTAAGACTTGAACGCACTCAGGATGTGGTTAGATAACGGGAGGCATGGGCAGTTTCAGCTGGATGTGACACTTTCTCTCCCCCGCTGTTTGTTTCTTCCAAAGTCAAGGTCGTTTTATTGCTCTTTGTTCCGCAAGACCCAGAAGTATTAGACCTTGTACCCATTTTAGGCTGGGGTTAGTCAGGCTCTCATTACATGCTTGGTCTGTTACGGAGCAGACAGGAAAAGTATTGCTAAAGCAAATGCAGCCTGGGGTCAGGGGTTTTTTTGTTTGAGGTTTATCTGCGGCAGGGAGAGAGTGTTTGGATTAATCATGTAACAAAATTGAATAAATATTTAATCCCTCTGTGGACACACTTAGTCACTTCCAGCAGGAATTAAGTTAAATTCACCTACAGAGTCTGAGTAAGATCGTTCGTGCAGCTCAGCTCACCAGCTCTGGCTTTGAAGTTGGAACCGGTCCGGGTGGCTTGTCCTGCGTGTCCCTGTGTACGTGTGTCACCGGTGCCACCAGTGGGTGGTCCCTCAGGGTGTGCAGAGCCGTGGCGGCTGGGCAGGGTGGCAGAGCCAGCCTCCTCCTGTCCCATGGCAGCGTCGGGAGCAAGGGATGGGCAGGAACAACTGTTAAGTTAAAAACAGTGAATAATGAGGACATCGTCACATGTGTGTGCTGCAGGTCCTCGCGTTTGTCCCTCCCGTGCGTGCTGAGCAGTTCTGCTGCTGTGCCAATGGGTGGGCTCTGGACGCATTGGATGGATTATTTTTTAATTTTTTTTTTCTCCCTTTAAAGAAATCAACCCCATTCCCTTCATAGTTTTTAAGGTAAACTGTTATTTTTCAGCTGTTTGATGTCTGAGCAATATTATTCACGGTCAAAACTTAACCTCTGCCTCGAGGCTGAGGAAGTGGCACGTAGGGTGGGTGTGTGCCGTGCCCTACGCAACGTGTAGGGTGGGTGTGTGCCGTGCTGCACGTGGTGCATAGCGTGGGTGTGTGCCGTGCCGCAGCTCCTGCCCCACCGGGTGCTGCCCCTCGAGCCCCAGCCGTGCTGCTGGGCACGCTGCCTGCGGCGCTGGGCTGGCAGGAGCTGGCAGCAGGAGGCAGGGGTGGTTTTAAGTGTGTTTTAACTGTTCTCAGTCCCAGCCAGAGCCTCATACGTGGTCTCAGTGTGAGTCACTGTGGTTGGTGCTCCAGGAAGGCTTGACCCCACGCAAGAGTGTTGCGGGACGGGGCTTTTCAGTGGTGGAGCCCCTCCAGCTCCCGCCCAAGGGCTGCTCCCCACTCTCACTGGTGTCCAGGGCGGGCACCCTCCTTCCAGCTGCAGTGCCAAATCAGCTGTGTTTACACGGGCCAAAATTTCTACAGGTGGCCTTTAACTCACCCCCCTCGGGACCCCTTTGGCCGGATTACCACAAGCCCAGCTGGAGCCCTCAGGAGACGGGGAACCACGAGAGCCTGAAAAACGGGGCATAACGCTGTGGTTTGGAGATCGGAAACGGCAGCAGTCCCTGGGTGGTGAATTTCTTTAGCTGGGAACCAATGGACTTGATACTTGACTTTTGCTTTTTAATAGTATTTTCAGCACAATACATGGAATGTAAGGGAAGGAAATTCCCATAGCGCTGGATCTCGTGATGCAGCGTCAGGAAGCTGTTCGTGCCAAGCTGGCATGGCTCAAAAAGAGTTGAAAGAAATCAAATAATTCAGCATCTGTGCAAACTTTAGCTGGGGCTGAACAATGGAAATGCTCTTGTGCAGCGGGATTATTTTTTTACAAGTGATTGTTCTTGACACCACTCTTGTCTGGAAGTCTGAATTGCAGAGGAATTTGTATGATAAGTTTAAATCCAGCCCTGTTCTGGAAAGCTCTTAAGCATAGACTTAAAATAGGCATGTACTTAAATCCTATTAAAGTGTTCATTAAAATGAACAATTAGTACATCCTTGGGTGCTTTTCTTGAATAGGGTGCTTATAAGAATTGTACCTTCAGTATGCTCTTACAGAAGCAAGCAGTGCTGAAGAGAACTGTTTTAATGATCTGGGCACACTTCTCAGAAAAGTCTGCAAGTGTTATGGGGAAATGCCCTATGTGTTTTGGATTACTTAATAATGCAGACTCTGGTGCTTTTTAAAAAAAAAATAATTAAAAAAATACATTTCTGTAGCCATGGTTTACCTAGAGGAATACATGGTATTTTTTATGGTGGATGTTATTTTTCTTTAAGGTTACAAATAGGTTATTTATATTTTTGTAAATTCTGTGTCATTACCATTGTAATCCTGAAGCATAATTGCTCCTGTTGTTTTTTGGGGTGATGTCTGTACTCAAATAAAGCAGTAGCTGAAGCTCCTGACCTTTTTGTTAAACAAGGGGGGGGGGTGCGCCCCACATTCCTTCCGGAGCTGGTGCTCTCGAATGCTGTGTGTTTGTGGTTAAATAAATTTCAGGGTGGGAGGTGGTGATGCTCGGTGAGTTTTGAGTCCTCTCCCCTCCTGCCTGCGGGTCTGTCTGTTGGGCAGGAGCGTAGAGACGAGCCTGACCCCCAGCCCCCCTGCCCACCCGCAGGTATGGGGCAGACCCAGCCCTCGGGGCATCCATGCGGCCAGGGACGTGGCCATGGCCCTGTGTGCTGACCGCGGCGGTCCCGCAGAGGGGTACGTCTGGCAGGGGCAGGCGGCACTTTCAAAGCAGATGCTGTTGCAGCTGAGTCCGTCATCCTCGTGACGCTGGTGTGGGAACGGGGCAGGAACGGCTTAAATGGGCACCGCTGGAGAGGAGCAACTGCGGCCGCTGGCCCCTTCCCCGTGAGGTGCCTGCCCCAACCGGGGGGCATCAGCCACTATTTGTTGTGTAGGTTTAATCTTCCTCAGAAGGGTTAAATCCCAGGCAGGGATTGTTGTGTGGCCTGGGGACGGGGAGGTGGCAGAGACCCCATAAACGCCCAAGGAGCTCTCCTGAAGCTTCGCTGAGGAACAGTTTTCTTTAAGCTCAGTAATTACAGTGCTTATTAAGTCTGTTCATGCCGTTACACTTGGTCTGTTCTTTAAAATAATTATTAGAATGAAGGATATGATTTTCTTTTCTAATTAAAGCTATTATACTTGTCCAAACTCTCACAGGCTTTATAGGTGCTGGTATTGCTATAGCTCATTCCTGTTGTGAAGAATACCCACACGCGATGCTGTTGTGTGCAGTCCTGCATCGCTAACTGTGCCTCTGCCGCTAAAGCAATACAATAGGTGTGGATAGAGAAGCCTCTGACATCAAGGCCCAGAAGAACCAGTCATTCATCACTGAATGCAAAACCATAGTATCGGTAGAGGTATTCAGCGTGCGTGGTTTCCAAAGAAGCCTTTTCCATGGAGTTCCTTGGGTGCCTGGGGCCTCTGTTCTCACAGATGCTTGAAATAATACACCCCAAGTTAACAGTGAAATTGATTTGCTGCTGCACTGAGAGCAACCAGCCTTACTGAAGTTCTGCAAGGAGTCAGTGATCCTAATGCCTCTGCCTGCACCGAGCCCTGCGTAAAACCGGAGGTGGATGGTGCAGGCAGGCGTGCTGCAGGCTCGGGAGGAGCCCAGCCCTCCCATGGGTGAGGCAGGTCTTGCGACCTGGTCTGAGAGCCCAGCCCATGCCGAGCAGCTTGCCTGAGGCCGCTGGCTCGCTGCAGGACGACTGTGCTTGGAGGAGCGCAC